GTGCGTGGCGTTCAACAACAGAAACAAAGAAGAACAACATTAACAACAGGAGGATGGAGGACGCTGTGATCGGAGCTGTGTTTTTGTTGTGTCTCGGGGGTTTCACAATAATAGACATGGAAAGTCGACATATACGTAAAGCGATTGAAAGAACGGAATGGAGGACTAAGAATCTCCAACGACAACTGGCAGTGCTACATTTGCTACAAGTGCCTGCACTTCAGCGTCCGTCCATCTATCGCTGTTCTCCATACTTGCGAAATTACCAGTTGTGCTGGTTAGACCCTGCTCCGGAGTAGGAGCTAATTTGGTTCTCGAAAAAGGCAGTCCGGTTCTAAAATCGCACCCAGTTCCGGCGGTGCAAAAACGCCAAAAAATAGATTCTCAATAAGTGCTTGATCATATGGAATTGAAAGTTTAATGACATTCATAAGCTTTTTAACTTACATGAAATAATCATTTGTTTGATTTGCTAAGTTTATTAGCAAACATTAACAAGCACATTATCTCATGTTTATAACTCTGAATATATTCTGAATATATACTAACTAATGATCCATTATGCATTATTTAATGTTTGTTAATGATTTATTAATGAAAGTTATTATAAAGTGTTACCGAATATATATATATATATATATATATATATATACACTACACACACACACACACATACAGTATATATATATATATATATATATACACACATACAGTATATATATAGTTAATATAACAAACTGGATGACAAGTTATTTCCTACTGCTAAATTCTGAAAAAACAGAGGTGTAAAATATTGGACCAAAAACCTCCGCATGTAATAACCTTGAACACTGTCTAAAGCTAAATGGCTGCTTTGTCAATTCTCCGTCATCAGTTAGAAACCTAGCTGTGCTATTTGATCTTTCCTTTGAAAACCATGTTTCTAGCATTTGTAAAACCACATTTTTTCCATCTTAAAAATATACATAAATTACAACCTATGCTCTTAATGTCAAATGCAGAAACGTTAAGTCATGCGTTCATGACCTCAGGGTTAGATTATTGTAATGCTATATTTGGCTGTCGCTCTGCATGCTTAATAAACTGGTATAAAATGCAGTAGCTAGAGTTCTTATTAGAACCAGGAAGTATGACCAAATTAGCCCAGTTCTGTCAACTCTGTACTGGCTTCCTATTGAACAATGTATACATTTTAAAATCTTGCTAATTACTTATAAAGCCCGGAATGGTTTAGCTCCTCAGTACTTGAGCTGGGAACACTTCCCATAACACCCGATGTACTCGTTACATCATAAGAAGAATGGCATCTACGCTAATATTAGTCTTTTCATTCTTATTCCGATGTCACCGTAGCCACCCAGATGCAATCCATTTTCAGACCAGATGGTGGATCAGCACCTAGAGACAACCTCTACCTGAATGTCAGTGGAGACCATGTCAACTAGATGAGCACCAGAGACAGATCCCCTGCGAAGACTTTGTCAACTAGATGGCCATCAGGACAAGACCATGGGAACCAGACGTTTACCTATAGTGTCTTGTCCTAAGAACACACTTTAGTTTTGCATACAAAAGTTTTTGCATAAAAGGTTTTTCATACAATGTATTTTAATAACATCTTGAATATGTCACATTTTAAACAGACTGTTCATGTTTGGATGTGTTAAAACATGAGGGACATTTAACACATACGACCACAAATAATCACTAAATATCAGTATCACATGATTTCAGAAATCATACTCTGTTATGGTTTTTGTCCTCCTGGACCTGTTTCTATTTCCTATCCACTTTATGGGTGAACTACCACTTTAAGGTGTTTTACAAGCAGAATTAAAGATCTGACATAAAATAATACCCTTTTTATGAACTAAGATACCACATAGTGTTTTAGTTTGACAAGAAAAAGCAATAAAGCAGCAGCGTACAGTTAATAAAAATAACTTAGAATTAATTAGGTGTAGTTTCTTTGTATGGGGTTTAAATTAATCTTTTTTTCTTGTTTATCTGGAAAGCTTTACAGTCCAGAGACAGAGTGGAAGTAAACCAAGGGGAACACAAGCAATTTATAAAAAAGATAGATTTCATTTACAACATTAATGGATTGGATGGAGAAGCCAACAGCTTTTCAGCTTGCACACAAACCTTAAACGGCTACTGATGTCTGACAATGGAAAGACATTTGAAATGCATAGAGATTGGTGCAATGGAAGAGGGTATCTGCGGTAGTTGATATCATTTTTGATTAGTACACTGTCAGGGTGATATTCACATGACCGTTGGACTCCCCAACATTGCTTTCCCAGGAGCCAGATGGATATAGTGATCCCAATCACTTACCAATATTCAACAGTTAATATTTCATTACTTCCAACCTGCTTCACGATCAGTTTTTTCACACTCCATTACTTAGTGATGTGACTCAAAGACGAAAGATTCACTCAGATTCACAATGTTCTCTCCAGCAAGGCTGAGGTTTTTCTATACTGATTTAGCATTAACTTTCAGGGAGGATATTAAAGTTGCATCAGTGTAAATTACATGTCTGTCTCAGGAGCGCAAGGAAATTAACTTTAAGGTAGGAGACCTTGGAACTGTTAATACAACATGCTACACATCTAATAGCTTAAAATGAAGACTACTGCTGAAAACATAATTTCTGTTTTGCTTTATGAACTTTAATCTGAAAAAAAAAAGGATCACTGTGACTATTAACAGTAGCTTAACAAACATCAATCAAACTTGGCACACTCTTCAGTCTTTTATGACTACATATAATTTATTTTACTTTTTTTTTTTTTTTTTACACTGTAAAAATAGTAAATGAAAACCTTACCGTAAAGGTATTCACCCAAAGGTATTCACCCAAAAATTTAAATTTGCTGAGCAATCTCTCATCCTCAGCCATCCAATATGTAGATGAGTATGTGTCTTTATCAGAACAGATTTGTAGAAATTTAGCATTACATCACGTTCTTACCAATGGATGCTCTGCAGTGAATGAGTGCCGTCAGATTAAGAGTCCAAACAGCTGATAAAAACATCACAGTAATCCACAAGTAATCCACACAAATCTAGCCCATCAATTAACATCTCAAGTGAAAAGCTGTGTTTGTAAGAAATTTAGATGTTACCATTTTTTACAAGTGTAATTTAAGTTTATTTAGTTTTTATTTTAGTTTTAGTATAGTATTGCCAAAGTTACATTGATCAGTTTTAATTAATGATAATAACAACATAACAACCACATAGAACAGTCTTGCAACTTCCTAGCAAGGCCATCACAAGTATTCAACATGAGGCTTAAATAACCTTCAAACTGTTTTAATCATGTCCTGACATTTTTTTCTTCTTATTCAGAAGAATAAAGTGCAAAATAAGTATTCTGATGATTCACCAGACCTTTAAAAAAATCATTATATTAACCCTCTGGCATTTCCTTCCCACAATTTTACTTGCATTGTAATATTGCGATTTCACTGTGGTGAGTTTATTGGTTCATTATTACTATATATGTTTTGAAAAGTACCCAAACTAAGTCCTTCTTTCATAGTCACTGCATGTTCTAAAAATAATTCAGAGAGAGCACCACACACTTCATAAGCGTTGGAAGTGGCACTCTGTGACAGAAGAGCTTATTTGAAAACTTCCTTCTCTGTGATGAGGCATAGCATTTCAGCCCACTTGCATAAATTACATTAAAAATAGATATTCTAAAAGAGTTTTCCAGAACCACAAGCCCAACTGTCATGCCATCATTATTATCTTATCAGACCACCCTTTGAAATGCCCCTTGTGATATGTATAATTTGCATAAATATAATATTTAAACACACACCACATAATTTCTACAGTATAGAGTTAGTTCATATAACTTGAAAAATAATTGCATGGCTTTTTTGAGCTTAATTAATTTAAATAATATTTAATTATTAATTACTTTTTAATTATTAACACCATACAAGTATGTAGTTCCTGCGTATGCACCTTGTGTTTCGTGCACTGATTGAATCTATGGTGGCATGGCAAAATACAAAATTTTTCTTTGTAAGTTGTAAGCTGTAAGCTTTGTCACAAAATGATGGTAAAAAACATATCTACTGAGTTCTCATTAAGTGCAGCACACAAATACAAAAAACACACCTGTGTAGTATGATTCACAAAAGTATGACCTAATACCTCTTAGTGAATCGAACACATACACTGCCACTTGACCTAGATTCACAAATTACTTGTTTGACATGAAGCTCTTACTGATTCGTTAAAAAAAAAATTGCAAGGTATCCATTTGAGTCAAATGAAACCTTCTCTGAATGAACTCCGTCAGAGAGGTTACTTAATTAGCATACACTCACGGGCCACTTTATTAGGTAGCCTACACCTTGCTAGTACCGGGTTGGACCCCTTTTTGCCTTCAGAACTGCCTTAATTCTACGTTGGCACAGATTCAACAAGGTGCTGGAAACATTTATTAGAGATTTTGGTCTATACTGACATGATAGCATATTGCAGTTGCTGCAGATTTGTTAGCTGCACATCCATGATGCAAATCTCCTGTTCCACCACATCCCAAATGTGCTTTTTTGGATTGAGATCCTGTGGCAGTGGAGGCCATTTTAGTGTATTGAACTCATTGTCATGTTCAAGAAACCAATTTGAGGTGATTTGAGCTTTGTCCTGCTGAAAGTAACCATAAGATACGTACACTCTGGTCATAAAAGGGATGGACATGGTCAGCAACAATACTCAGGTGAGCTGTTGTGTTTCAACAATGCTCAATTGGTACTTAAGCCTAGTTCACACTACATGACTTAAAACGTTGGCAGATCGCTGTGCTGTCCAGACTACATGACTTGCTGTCTGTCTTAAAGTCGTTGTAGTGTTCACACTACGCGACACTACATAAATGATCCGCAACAGGGGATCACACACTACACGAGCTGACAACAACTCTGTCACCCAACGACTCATTGGCTGTAGCTCGTCTCCACACCTGACACCACGTGATGTCAAGTCGGCCGACCGGTCCAGATATTTAGCATGACAGATATTCGTTTGGCATTGGCGACGCGTCAGTGAGCCTCTTTGATGCGTTGTTGAGTAGTTCACACATAAAGATTGCCGAGCGCTGATCACCCACTGATTTTCCCCTGATCACAGCCCGACCTGTCGGCGAGCTTGTTAACTTGCAAATCAGGCTTAAAACCCTGTAGTGTGAACTAGGCATAAGGGGCCCAAAGTGTTTTAAGAAAATAACCCCCACAACATTACACCACCAGAAGCATCCTGAACTGCTGATACAAGACAAGATGGATCAATGCTTTCATATTGTTTATGCCAAAATCTGACCATACCATCTGAATGTCGCAGCTGAAATTGAGACTCATCAGACCAGGAGACCTTTTTCCAATCTTCTATTATCCAATTTTGGTGAACCCATGCTAATTGTAGTCTCAGTTTCCTTTTCTTAGCTGACAGGAGCCACTCCTGTCCCAATGTGGTCTTCTGCTGCTGTAGCCCATCTGCTTCAAGGTTCGATGTGATGTGTTTTCAGGGATTCTCTTCTGCAGACCTTGGTTGTAACGAGTGGATATTTGAGTTACTGTTGCCCTTCTATAAGCTTGAACCAGTCTGACCATTTTCCTGTGACCTCTGGCATCAACAAGGCATTTTTTGTCCACAGAACTGCTGCTCACTGGATATTTTCTCTTTTTGGACCATTCTCTGTAAACCCTATCAATGGTTGTGAAAATCCCAAAATCTGTCACCATTTTAACATAGGAACAGGATGAACCAACTCATCCTGACATCACAAGACAAAAAGTTACTAAAAGCGACAAAAAAAAATCAATACTATTTCAATAAATCTGTTAAACTATGCAACCATAATTATTAAGCCTCAATGCAGCATGAAGGGAAGAGGGTGAATGTGCACAGAACCACAAAACTTATTTTTTTTGTAATATAATCCTATTCAACTTTTCAAAAAAAGCTCAATGCTCATGTTTGTCCAACTTACAAAAATCAGAGTATGCTGCAATGAAACACATGAATTGTGTTACAAGTAAGAACTTCGGAATATAAAGTACACAAAAATAACTACTGTACTTAAGTAAATCTTTAGCTATTTTTTAATCATTATTTACATGATATAAAAATCAGGTTTACAATATACAATAACATAGTGTTTTAATTTGTATTAGTGAACATCAATATGATGAAGATGTTGGAGAAATTCAGCTAAAAACTGACAGAAAGAGTCAGAAAGTAAATCTATGTGCACCCAGAAACTAATTTCACCCTCTGTCACACGTTTAATCAAAAAGAGTGTATCATATTTCATGCATCTCATTTCTGTGATGGAACTTTGAATTTTTGTTCCTCTAAAAATGCAAGTCAACAAATAATTCCCTGCAAGTGAAACAGAACTGGAGCGAATACATCAAGAGGATCTACAGCAGACAATGAAGATCCCTAGGCCAGTCTTTCCTCTATGTCTCTCTCCTTTCATCCTCTTCCTCCCCTTCCTCTTATCAAGCCATTTTAAAGGTTCGGTGTTTTTTGGATGTGATATTGATGGGAAATCACATCAGAGTGTCATCACTACTGTAACGCTGATTGATGACCGTGGGAATGCAAGGGAGGAAGGGTTAACTTATACAACAACCAGTGGATGCTGGATGACCATACTTCTCATCACTGCAGTTTCTCCACTGCTTAAGCAGAAACACATGCTGATGACAAAGGAATGAGAGCTGTTTAAGCCACAAATAATCTCACATTGTATGTGTACTGCTAATCATTTATGTACAGTATTTAAATTACAAATAAACTCAGTCATTTGGATATGCCTAATCATTCTTATATTTATACAATAATAGTAAAATAATAGTAATAAAATAATACAATAATAGTATAAAAAAACAACAACAAAAAAAGTATGAATTTAGCAAATGTTAAGTCAAACTGTTTTGGTATATTTTAGCACTGAATACCAGATGTACAGAACAGCTGATGTTTATTTATATACATGTGTATTTTATTCTCATAACTTTATTTTTTATTATATGTGTTGTTGTTGTTGTCTCTGCATACTGGAAGTGTCTTCTGTCACCAGAACAAATTGCTTGTGTGTGCAAACATACTTGGCAATAAAACTCTTTTAATTCTGATTCTGATGTGTTTTATGTAAAGTTAATCCCTAACACTAACTTTCACGGTTTGTTTTATGTAACATTTCATTTTGATACCATGTATAAATAAGTGATAAAAATGAATGATTGTCATCAATCTGTGTATCATTCGATCATTCGTTTTTTTATTTAATATTGAAAGTAGAAAAATTAGAAAAAGGCTCCTTTTTTGTTTTTTTTTTTCCAAAAATTGAAAAAAGAGAATTCGGCTTAAATTTTATACTTGCCAATTTAATGGCAGAGAATGGTGACTTTAGGTTTTGTTTGTTGTTTTTAAGCGGATGCATATCTGTCGTAAAATAATTATATGCATCTCGTGGCGTATATTCCAAGCATTCTGAAGGTATCATGAGGGTTTGGTGAGAAACAAACCGAAATGGCAAGCTATTATATTTTATGAAAATCTTGCGTTGCAGTGCGAGTGCGCAGTAGCTCACGCTGCGCACAAGTGCATATCCTTTTGAGATATCAATTATAATCAATTTTAATAAAACACAAGACTACATTATAAAACTCTAACAGTAGGCTATTTAATATCTGTTGTTCTCCGGTTTTCTGTCAAAATGACAGTTCTTGCATGAACATTATAGGCCTATATATACCCAAGCCAATTTATTATTCCTTCCTTTTGTTTTAGTGTTTAAAATATTTATTTTGAAACTAATTAATTAATTAAACAAACAGACTTAATGGGTGAGCATCTATGACAGCTGTCATATCATACCCTGCCATGCCCAGCTGATGCAAAGAATAGAATTTATATCTACACAGAAGAAAGCCCTGTCTAGATTCTGCCCCAGTATGAGTTGTGTCAAGCTATTCATTAGCCTGTTTGTTTGATGAAAAAAGATGAAATGTAGTTGCAATAAATGTGTTAAGAATCAATACAACTGCAGCAGCAGAGGACTATTATTCTGCTGTGTGATACTGCAGAAGAACTGATGATTGCACGGTTTGATCTTCGGCTGACCAATCAGCAGAAAGGGCTGTTTAATTCCCGCCCACGTGTAGAAATTGAATATTCAAGCTGTTTATTAATTGTTCTACCCCTGAACGAAAAACGAAAATATAAGCTGAAACGAAAAAGGAGCCGTTTTCTCATTTTTCTACTTTCAATATTAAATCAAAAAACGAATAATCGAATGATACACGGATTGTCATCATTTTGGATTTAGATGTAGTTATTTGGGTTTACTATTCACAATATAATTATTTTGTTTTGGTTAGGGTACTCCCATGTTTTTTTTTTTCAATTTGAATATGCCAAATGTCCGACTTGAGGGTACAAGTCCCATACTGCATCTAATTTTGCCTAATTATAATATACGCCTTTAAAGTATGTACTATTTTTGTGAAGAAAAAGTACACATTTTTTAGTGTATAGTAGAAGAGTAGGCAAGCTTTGTGACATACTATCACATCATACAATTGCGTTTTTAATGAATGCTCTGTCGCATAGTTATGCCCCGGGCAAGGACCTCATCGGACCCACTCATCATAATTATATCACATGGAATTGATCTTACAATACACTCAAACACAACTATTAAAAAAGGTTCAAATATTCACTGATGCTCCCAGTGTTCAAACTATACCGTGGACTTTGGGGGAGCCCACTTGTTTGTTTTTTTTTATAAGGGGCTTGCGCGTGCCTCAAAAGAGGGCTTACAATGACTTACAAAGATACATAACAGCTACAAGTGTATTCACTACTTGCTTTATGCAAGCACTATATAGGATAAATCACTATACAGGATTTACCCTATTATACTTTATCGACACAAATTGATAGGTGAAACAACAAACAGCCACCCACAAATAGTCTATAAACAAAGCATCAGGCTGTCTTTGAGTTCACATGAACAACGGTTAAGTTACTCATCGTCAGGCTACAGAAGAATACCATAATTCCTCCGTTCAATTAGGCCTAAGACATCGAGAGTCACGCAGACCTATAACAACCCAGCCACAACACATAATTGCGAATAACATGCCTTACCTTAACACAGAATCGACCAGAGTCCAACATTTATATTTTTTCTACGAATCTTTGAGTTAACATGTACTAAACATGAGTGGAATTTGCACCGCAGCGCCCCCACACCTTGATGCTCATGACAAGATCAGCATGCATAATTATCTTTATTGAAGTGAATTAGGTTTAAATCGCTGTCATGCATGCATGAATGAATTATATTTTTGCAATTTTACACATAATAATCCACGATGATCACATTGCACAAAACTGAAATTGCACGTCAAAATAACATTGTCAATATTTTTTGAGACCCCCCAAAATTTCACAAATCACGTTTTCAGGGGAGCCCATGTCTGTCTTGTGGACTAAATGTAAACATCTTTTATGTAAAATATCTTACTCAGGACAGTACTAAATAAAAAAATAACATGCATTTTGTATGATCTCCCTTATTTTGTTAAAATTACTCACATTTTCAGATTCTGCAAGGGGTTCACAAACTTTCAAGTGGCACTGTATATATATATATATATATATATATATATATAATACACATAAATGACTAATAGCTACGCAAATTATCACAGGAATTAGTCATTCATGTGTAATGTATTTTACCATAAGATACATTTGAGTAATGTATTGTGTGTGGTGTTAGGATGGCACACTATATTAAATTTGCAAATGAATATAGATAAAACACAGAATAAAAAAATGCATGCTACAAATGCATAATGCGTGTAATTTAAATGAATACCTGTAACAGATAGATAAAACTAATTTGGAGGTCACTTTACAATACAGTATGAAAAGAATGAGTACTGCAGAAATGAGCAAGGAAATCATGCACATTTGTCTCATTTGTGATAAGCTATCTAGCCAGCAAGTATAAACAACCCTTTTCTACTAATCATGTATTCCAGTCAAATGCTGAAATTTGTGTAACGCTTGGTGAGTAAAGTTACCTGTTGAGAATGAACTATCATCCCTCCTGAGGAGTCGGCATCTCTTTTCTGGAGGCTTCTCATAACCGAGGAAAAGAGTAGGGTATGGGTTGTCCTCTGTCGGTTTTTTTTTTGCCACAAAGTGAAAAGAGCATACATAAAGCATTTTGGGGGGCTTCTTTAAGTTCAGGTTTTTGAGCCAGTTTTGCTTAGCTTCGTCTTCTATAGGAAGGCGATGAAAACTGTACCTTCTCTCGCAAGTGCATTCCGCTCTAACTTTAGGTTTGTGTATATAGCACTGTTCTTTAAGCCACAAATTAAGCTTCGTCTGGATATAAGTGCATCCACGGACAGCACAGGTTGTTCCAGAGCTTTGTAATGCCATTTTAATATTTTCCCGCCTGAAAAACAAACCGCACACAAACAAAACATTTCACCATCGGTGCAACTCATTCAATGCTGCTACTACTTCCGCCAGAAGTTATACCCATAACCGTTTTTACAGCAGTGCCCCCAGGAAAAATGTGGATACAGTTCTATTTCTGCGAGTGAATTGTACTATCAAATACATATTTTTATTATACTGCAAATATGTCATACTGTTGGGCTTGTTTGCCACCTTTGACACAGTGAATCAGTAGATAATTCTGTCAGCCTTTTCCACCCTAGGCATCATGGGATTTGCATGCTGTTGATTTGTGTCACAGGTAGATATTTCAGGGTACATATTTCATCTTGGAGCAGAGCAATGTCAAAATTACATTACAAAAAAAAAAGGAGGGGGGTACCTCAGGGTTCGCTACCTGGCCCCCTCCTCTTCTTAATGTACACAACATGACTGAGACCTTACATCCAGGAACATGGATTTTCTATCTCTGCTATGGCAACAAGATGTAGCTCTGCTTTTAGTTCCAACCTGGCTGTTTGTTTAGTAGACATCTCCAACTTTTCCTGGCCAAGACAGAGCTTCCTTTTCAGCTCTAACTGAAAGTTATCAGTTAAAAAACATGGAACTTTCTGATTAAATTAGTATGCATATGGGTAGTGTAACATGTGTACATGTTGTGAGCAAGAGCATATCTTTTATAGAAATCTATATACATTCCCGCGGTAGTTAGAATGATGCAAATAGTCTTGCCTTGTGACAGAATCGTTACATTGATAGTTTCCAAAACAGATTATCTACAAGCACTTGGAGGTGGTTTAAAGCCCACACAAGCTATTCACTGTGAAATAAATCCACATTCTGATTGTTTTTACTGTCTTTCAACAAGATTATCATGCTATGCCTCAATTAATTGTGACTCATTCATTTTAATTGTGTGAAGTGTGCAAATCCTAAGCAGTCAAACCACTTCTGTTGCCCACAGCTCCTTTTTCCTGCCAGCAGTGGTTTGCGGTTGCTGGCAATTTGTAATACAGTAAATACAACCCAGGCTATCAATACTCATCTGTGCACATTATTGATGCATTCAGCTGCTGCAACTTTGACTTCACATAAAACATCAGGTATGATAGTATAGATGGCCAATATATAAAATATTGATATAAAAACAAAAATGCTAGAAATGCTAGAATTTTTTTTTTAGACAAAAAGACCATGCAGTTCTATACATCTCTGCTTTAGCTGTAATCAGACTGATGAAAAACATTTTTGCATAGAGGATTTTATGCTGAAAACAATGCTGGGTAGGCTTATGTGTGGAAGCACAAGGGACATATTTGCTCAGGGATCATTTACATTTTTGACATGGCCATTGCTAAAAATAATCACGCAGGTGGGTGGATAAGCTTGCTGCAAAAGACAGTACAAAGAGACAAGTGGGGCTTTGATGGAAGTGAGAGCCCCTATTTTCATTTTGGACACCTGCAAGTTCTTTGAGAAATGCTTACAAGTGATTTCCATGACATCTGTATAATTCTGATACTTTGCTGTTCACAACATTCTTGTGAATTTACCAAACTGTTATGAACTTTACAGACTATATCATCCCTGTCCTTTAAACAATAGTTCTGTTTCAAAATGCAGTTCATACAGCATGCAGTTACATAGTGTTTTAATTTGTATTTGTGTGTATGGTATGTGAGAACATGATTATGATGAAGACGGTTGAGAAATACTGCTACAAACTAGACAGTACATTCCTGATGCATTTTTTTTTTCTCTCTCCAAAAGATAAACTGTATACTGCCTTCCAGGATGCTTTCTTTTCACCAAAATTGAAGGCAGCATCATATATATCCTTTCTGGTAAGCCAAATTATACAGCAAGTTTGTTAACATTGCTTAAAGGGGTCATATGATGCGATTTCAATTTTTCCTTTCTCTTTGAAGTGTTACAAGCTCTTGGTGCATAAAGACCTGTAAAGTTGCAAAGACTAAAGTCTCAAATCCAAAGAGATATTCTTTATAAAAGTTAAGAGTCAGCCACGCCTACCTAAAACGGCTCGTTCTAACACGCCCCCACATATCTACATCACTATGTGGGAAGATTTGCATAACGCTGCCCAAATGTTCACGCAAAGAAAGAAGGCGTAACTTTTATTCTCGCTGTAGTATTGTTGTTGCAGCCACCATGTCGTGAAGGCGCTGTGTGATTCGTTGTGAAAGCGAAACTATTTTGTTTGGCCTTCCAAAAGAGGACGATATCTGCTTCGTCATGCCTGGAGCTGATCCATGCTGGTCGCTGAGGAAATACTACAACTTTGCGCTGTGGATCG